CAAACAAACAAACAAACAAACAAAAGTCAATAAAGGTCTAGGTGTGGAGACCTCAAATCCCTAATGTATCACTGTCTGGCTGTGTGACGGTTAATTTTAATTGTTACTTTGACACCATCCAAATCACCTGAGGAGACTCTCGATGAAGGATTGTGTAGATGAGAGAGTGAGCATATCCATGGGGAGTGGTTTGGTTACATTAATTGGCGTGGGAAGGACCATTGGTGACACCATTCCCTAGGCTTGAGTTCTGGTCTGTATAAAGAGCAGAGAGTGCTCACTAAGCAGTAAGCACGCCTGCTTTCATTCACTCTCCACTCTTGACTATGCATGTGACCAGCTGCTTCAAGGCTGAAAAGTTCGTTGACTCTACCCAAGGACATCCTAGGCCCACCCCCCAAGTACCCTGTGGAAGAGACTATCAGAGGATTAGATAGTTTTAAAACCTGTGTAGACTGTGACTTATCCTGCTGTCTCCCCTCCTCTCCCTCTTAACTGTTTTCTTACTTGTTTCTCTTCCAGCTAGTGGAGCATTACTCTTACAAACCAGATGGGTTATTAAGAGTCCTCACGGTACCATGTCAAAAGATTGGCGCACAGATGGGTGAGTGATTGGCACAGAAGAGGGTGTGGTTTGGGGGAACTGGTCATCATCAACCTGCTGTCAGATTTGCCTAATCCCAACTCATGCAAGACAAGGCTTCGATTTTACCACGTGATTAAACTTGATGTCACTCCAATTCTTGGAATCGTTAGCTGCAAGATAATCATAACAAAAACAAACAAACAAACAAAAACAAAAAAAAAATAGTGGATTTTAGTTGCATGTGTCACCAGGATGGTAGCACATGTCTTCAGTCTCAGCATTAAGAAGGCAGAGTAGGGAATCTGTGAGTTCAAGACCACTGTCAGACCCTGTCTCAAAGAGAAAAGCTTACTTAATTGAATGTGTGAAAAAATCAGTAAAAGAGAAAAATACAGATACGGAGAGTTTAGTCTCCCCAGTATGTTCCAGTCATACTGATAGATCTGACAAGTTGGTAGGTGGTTTGTACAAACACAGCGGTAATTGAACTATAACCAAAGCATTTTCCTCTTACAGGTCATCCAGGAAATTCAAATGCCCATCCTGTGGTAAGTATTGTTGTAAGTGTCTCTGCTGGGGAAGCAGCTGTGTCTGGACACATGAAAAGATCAAGTTTTAGTCAGCACAGGACATGTCTTGAAGACCTGGAATCTAGTGAATCTGGGAAGCCATCAGCCTGTGGGCACTGCTAAGCTAGGCGTGTTTTCATGGTTTCTTGGCCGTTTATTTTCTCTTCATTCTCTAGAAGTATACAGAGTGAGAAACCCACTAGGAGATCAGAAAAGCCACTGGTCAGATGAAGAAAAGGAGAATATATCATTCAAGTTCAGCCTTGAGTTGTCTGTGTGAACTTGAGTGTGCCATCCACAGGCCTGCCAACATGCATATCAGTACAACACGACCAGCAGATAGGTATCTCCTTTGAGGTTGGCTATCCAACTCCTTTGGCCAAACCAATTGACACCTTACTACTAGAGACTTGACCTAAATTGGTTTGTCTAATGATTAGGGGAGGGAGGGAGGGAACACTTGGTAAGATTTCAAGAGAAAGGTCCAGAGAAGGAAAGAATCTTGGCTAGAATGCACATTCCATCCACGTCACTAGATAAGAACGTAGCCAGATGTCCCTGTGTTGGGTTAGCCCTTTCTTTGTCATGCCTGAAAAGAGAGAAGAACCTCAAGTCCCTTCTCCATCTGGGATGTAGGAGCTGGTACTTAGGTTGTTACTTCACAAGAGTATCTCTTCTCATATCTTAGGGCCGTCAGTGTGCACATCCCAGCCCATCAGCACGACCAGGGAATAATTCCTCACTTCTATCCCGCTACCTGCTAGAAAACAAAATCTACCAAAGGCCAAACGCATGTTCTGTCTCCAATGGGGGCTGTTGACCACTTGCTACTGAAACTGTTCATTCTAGGGTTAGCACTTTTTACCAAACCGAGAGCCCTTGAATTGGCTAACACACCAGTGAGCTTGAGGGTCCTCTGAAACACAGTGCCCCCTGGGGGCCTCACCTGGTGGTTATCATTCTGTGCCCTTGAGACAGATCAGTGACCAATTTGTGGCCTGAGGGCTGCATATGTCCCAGGATTTTGTAGATGACGATATCATGTTGCAGCCAATGTCACTGAACAGTGACAGCACTGAACAGTCAGTGACTAGAGTCTCTTGTTGAGCTCAAGACACAAGATTTCCATATATAACATGGCTGCCTCATGTCTCAGCTTTAATTTTGTAGCCTTCAGCGGAAAGTATTTATTAACTATTCTAGACCTCTCGGCCAGAATGATAGACTCTTCTGGAAACATCTCCAATGATCCAGACTTGCACACAGGAAAATGTCCCTGGGGCAGGTTTAGGGAGGGGGCAGTGCATTTGCAGAATCAAAGCCAGGTAGCAAGTCATGATGAACAATATCCCGCATGTGTTTTTCTGAAACTAAACGCTCTATTCCTCTCTCTGCTGTTGTGGTTTCTAGAGTTGGTCACCGGGTGGAATAATCTCAAGAATCAAATCCTACTCCTTCCCAAAGCCTGGCCACAAAAAGGTGCTAAGGGGTCCCCTGTTTGCTGTCCCTGACTAAGTGGTAGGATAGACCCCCTGCAGCTCATGCTTGGCTGGCCATCCTGTACCCAATGCAGCTCTGCCTCCATGCCTCCCACCTGCCCAGCTCCATGCACACCCGCTGACCCTCACAGCTCCTGCACAGTGCGTGCGTGCTTTGCTTGTGGCTTCTCCATCACTGCCACGGCATAGCCTGTCCATGTTGTTTGTTCTTTACAACACATACCTTCAGTCACTTCAGGGAGCCCTGCCTGCTGGTTCTCATACCAGACAGTCTTTGCACACTCAGCTCACCTTCATCGTCCAGAGTCATGTGCTGCAGCGTTAGGGCTTCTGCTACATTAAGTTCTTCACAATGGAGGGAACGGAGGTCTCCAGGGGTGCTCTGTCCCCCTGAGACATCAGGTTCATTTCTGCATTTTGTTACATGACTGCATTTTGAGGGACAGTAAAAAGAAGACCTGAATGGGAAGACGGCTCAGAGGCCAAAGGCAGTTGTCATTAAGCCTGACAACCTGAGTTTGATCCCTGGACCTCACATGGTGGAAGGAGAAAAACACCAGAGCCGACTCCTGGGAGTTGTCCTCTGATCCCGTGTGTGTGCCTTGACTCTTGCATAGATTTTTTTTTTTTTAGAGTTTAGGAATCAAACTCAAGTGCTTTATCACTGAGCTGTGTCCCAGCCCCTGGTTCTTCTTTGTTTGTTTGTTTTTATTTTTGGTTTGTAAGATAGGATTTTATTCTGTAGCTAAGGCTGTCTTTGAACTTACCTCAACCTCCCAAGTTCTGGAATTAGAAGTCCTAACCTGACCTTTGTATTGACTTGTTTATAGTGAATTACATATACAAGCACACACATACACGTGTGTGCACACACACACACACACACCTGTATGTGTATATGTATGTATATACACAGATGTGCATATATACACATACATATAATGTGTATTATATATGTGCATATATACATATATAATGTGTATTATACATATATATGTGTATGTAATGTGTATTATATACAAAGATGTGTATATAATGTGTATTACATACACATATATGTGTATATAATATGTATAGGTTGCTCTTTCATATCTATTTTTATCATCTTTAGGCAAAGACTAACTTTATTAACAATTGTTTTAATTTTATATCAATGTTTTTCCAAATGTGTGGGCATATGATTAAGCCAGTGCAAACAGAGTTGAATATTAAGTTGTTTATTAGAAACAAAAACATAGATGCCCATGAATTTTACTCAGTAATTATTCGCTCTAATGACCACTCACTAGAGGGTCCTAATCCTGTTGGCCAGAGCATAGAAGAGAGAGGAACATGATGCTTGAACCAGAAGGACACCATGTTGTGTTAAGCTCAGTCAGTGATAGAGAATGTTGGAGAATCTTCTGCAGCCGCCTGAGCCTTGGTCCCAGCCTGACACACTCTCCTTGCCGAGGGCCCCATGTGACTGGGGCAGCTCATGCCCAGCAAGCCCTGTGGGAGCCAGGTAGCACGTACCTCATAGGTTAAGGTACTTAAACCTGCCTGACGAAGGGAGCTTTTCAGTGGTGTCCACTCAGGACAGCAACCGCAGCACTGGGGGTTGCGGTTACACTCAGACTCCATAGAATGTGACAGCACACTTATCAAGCCTCACAGGACACTGCGGGGCACAGCAAGCCTCGAGTCTCTCCTTCCTCAACTGACTCCTCGTGAGCTTCCGACAACACCCAGTCATTCTACTTGCCCTAACCTGAGGCTTATTGCTAACTCACAGCCCTCGGCTCTGCACAGTCCTAGCAAGGAGCAACTTCATCCTGGCATCTCACATTCATCTCTTGGGTTCCACCAGAGACGGATCAACCAGAGATGCTGTATGTGCATGAGCACACATAAACATGTATGACACACGCATGTATACACACGTATGTATACACACACATACATGGAAATATCTGTGCCCATGTGTACATAGTCGTGTATGATATTTGAATTGCATATGTACTGAATATGTAGCATATATGCACATATCTGCATGAAATGTATATTTGCATACACATATATTGCTGCTTACACATGGCAAATGTACTACCCGCATACAGCTTCCACACAGATTTATTGCAAGGACTTACAGAGTTTACACAGACCAGCTAAGCGAGTGCAGTGTCCATGGGGTAGACTGTCAAGTGGAGGGGATCCAGTGGCATTGCTAAAGCTGCCATGTGGTAGGGGTGAGCTTCCCTTTCCCGTTTCCCTTTTCCTCAGAAAGTCTAAACTTTTATCTAAGGATGCTCAGCTGACTGAGTCAGGCCCATGTGGGATCATCCTCATGATGTCAGTCACCTACTCCGTCTCCACAGAGCTCCTTCTCAAGCAGCAGGAACTGCCTCATTCTGAGCTTTCCATGTGATTCAGTAATGACCACCCAGGAGAGCCAGATGCCATAGCAAAAGCCAACACTGCAGCTGGGAGAGATAGCCCGGTTGGTAAAGTGCCAGCCACCCAAGTGCGAGCTCCTGAGTTCAGATCCCTGGCACCCAAGTAAGAAGCTAGGCACAGTGGTACACAGTGCCATCACAGTGCTGAGGAGACAAGACAGGAGGGTCCCTCAGCCAGTCAGTCTCATCAAAGAGGCAAGTTCCAGATTCAGTGAGAGACCTTGCCTCAAAACACAAAGTGGAGAAGATGTTGAAAAAGATATCTGACATCAGCCTCTGGCTCCTGAATGTACACAAATGCAATCACACATACATGCACACACACACACACACACACACACACACACACACACACCATGTGTACATTTTAGAAAAGCCAACATCGACAAAGCCCAGTCGACAAGCATTTGAATTAGCTTTAGCATTTGGAGCGTTAATGAAAAGTGTGCTTTGATTTTAAGATTATCAATTTAAATTTTTCATTAGAAAGAGAAATGAAACCAGGGTGAGGATTTGGCTCAGTTACAGAGTATTTATCTAACAACCATAAGGCCCTGGATTTAGTTCCTAACACCAGGAGGAGAAAAATACTTGGAAAGTCAAGTACATTTTTTTTTGAAATAATGTATTTCTTTTTATCTTATGTGCACTGGTGTTTTGCCTGCCTGTGTACCTGTGTGAGGGTGTCAGATCTTGGAGTTAAAGCTGTGAACTGCCATGTGGATGCTGGGAATTGAACCCAGGTCACCTGGAAGAGCAGTCAATGCTCTTAACTGCTGAGCCTTCTCCCCAGCCCTCATCAAGTACATGTTTGACATAAATTATTATTCAGACATGCACATGTGTGTCTGTGCAGTGTATGTTACATGTGTGAAGGTAGGTACCTTCAGAGACCAAGAAAGAACATTGGATTTTCTGGAGACAGAGTCACAACTGGCTGTAAGCAACCCACACACCCCTGTGGGTGCTGGGAACCAAACTTGGGTTCTCTGCAAATAGAGAAAAATCAGTACATAATCTTAACCGCTGAGCTTTCTCTCCAGCCCCAAGACAGGTGAAATTTAACTTTAGATAAGGGTAATGTGTTTTATCTTCTTCCAGTCTAATTACACTTAGCTAAGGTGTAAGAGTACCTGTGGCATTTAAAATCACTGCTGTTGTGAGTCCTAGCATTTCTGCTGGATTGGTTACCTGTGTCCGTAGCCATGGGCATGAAGACTGAAGGAGTTTTCCCAGCTGTACACGCCCTCCCTAAGACCGCTAAATGGAAAACACACCCCTGGGATTTGTTAAAGCCTGATTTCATGTTTCATTCTATGTAAACTTTGATGGCTGGGATTTTGAGAAAGTGTAATGGTCCAGGTTGGGCTAGAGGGATGGCTTAGTGGTTAAGAACCCTGACTGCTCTTCCATAGGCCCTGAGTTCAATTCCCAGCAACCACATGGTGGCTCACAACCATCTGTAATGGGATCTGATGCCCTCTTCTGGTGTGTCTGAAGAGAGAGCAACAGTATAAATAAAATAATTTAAAAGAAAGAGGAGGAGGAGGAAGAGGAAGAAGAAGAAGAGGAAGAGGGAGAAGAAGAAGAAGAAGAGGAGGAAGAAGATGAGGAAAAGGAGGAGGAGGAGGAAGAGAAAGAGGAAGAGGAGAAGAGGCCAGGTTTTAGATCTTTGCTGTGGGATAAGAGAATAATTATACAGCTCATCTTTAGGCAAGCATGACCACGACCCTCCTTCTGACAGAGTCTGCTCTCATCATACTGCCTGTGCTTCTTCAGAGACTAGAAACTGTAGCCGGCTGATTTCAGCCAGTGTCCTGGAGCCTCTGGCTTCTGGCCTCTGGGGAGTGTTTCCATCCATACTTCCACCGTTGCCACATTTGTAAATACTTGCAGGAAGCTGGGAAAGAAAGCCGAGGTCCAGGAACCAAAAGGCAAGGCTTTGGAAGCAGGACACAGGGCAGAGGCCACCATCTCCACAGGACAGAGGGTGTGCTGGAGAGTTCTGGTAATCACAGGGCTAGAGAGACAGAGACAGGCAAGTCCCTGGGGCCTACTGACCAGCCAGCCAGCCAGTGGAGACCTGTGTGGAAAACTAGGGTGGATAGGTCGTGAAGAACAACACCCTAGGTAGACCTCTGTCTTCCACAGGCAAGTGCACACAGGTAACTGCTCAGCCACACACACACACACACACACACACACACACATGCACGCACACATACTATCATGCATGCACACACACAAGGGTGTCTAATGCATCACCACTTTTAATATATTGTGACAGAGTAGTTCAAACTTGAAAGTTATCTTCCCAAGGTTGGATACCTGGCGCCATCTAGAGACAACTAGAAGTTGTGCATAGGTGGAAAGTTAAGTGTGAAGCTGTCAGCACTTCCTTTATAGCTCTGTTCTCAGTGCAGAACAGAGGATGCCAGGGAAGGGGCAGACCACCACGTACAAAGTAGAGAGACCGATGGCGGAGGCCAGCGCTATCTACCAGTAATGCTTCTCACTACAGCTGACATTTCCCTCCGTTCATCTTTCAACTGAGTCTTTGCTTCCACAGCTTTTAGTGGTGACAGTGGACCCAGCCAGGGCCTGTTCCCAAGTACTGTGGGAAAGCTGGAAGCGGGGGCCTTGTATCTTCCTCTACACCATAAAGCAGCAAACTGCTGCTCTGGTAACTGTCACAGTGCAAAACCACCCCTTCCTTCCACAGGACACTCAAGCGAGGTGACATTATTGTCCCGGTCCCCTAGGCCTCTGCCTGTGCATGAGACAGGAGGTGGTGGGTCCTAGGGCTGAGGCATCCCAATGAGAAAGGTCATGTATCTCTTGGGTCTCAGGGGTTCTGTCTGGATCTTAAATGCTCCATCTCCTAGGGTGCTTTCTGTCGGGCAGCATGGGAATGAAGCCCTGAGCCACATCCACTTAAAGAAGAATCCTGGTTCCCAAAGGAGATGCCCAGTCTTTTTCTTTGTCTGTCAGCTAGACATAGGGGTAGCACTTGTCTACCTGGGTGTGAACTCCATCCAGGAGCTTGGATGCTCAGGGCCCCACGCCACTGATCTCTGTGTGCTTTCGATATACTGCCATTTTTACAAATTTATTTCCTAAGACCTTCAACACTGCTTTAAAATTATTCCAAGAGGTTTTGTTAGGAAATTGTGAGTACTGGTTTATTATAGCAAGCCTTTTGAAGTGCCCTTGCTCTGGAGAACATTCCAGAGAGACTGCATGAAGGCCCTGATTGGGGCTCTGAGTGGCAGAGGGCAGGCGCTCTTGTAGCCACAAGAAGGGTTATGCCTGTCTTCCCTATCCTGGGGTATCCTTTAACTCCATGATGGGCCAGAGATTGTCTTGGGGATCTCAGAACTTTCTTGTGGACAGAGAAAAATGGAAAGACTTAACATGGTAGTCACGCTAACCCAGAGACATCTGAAGACTAGCTAGGTAATGGTAGCAATGATCAAGTATAAACTAGAGGAACTCTTCTTGGGCAGGGCATCCAATCAACACCAAACTTGACTGTAGTCCTGTGTAAATGTTTAAGAGGGTCATTTACAAGAGATTATCTCTACTTAGTTTCCTTCCTGAGTTCAAAGACTAAAGAGAGAATTCATTGTAAACCATGTAAGTTTATATTTCACGTCTCCGTCTTCTGAAAGGTTACTTTCGTCAATCGATCTGTTCAACCATCTACCCATCTATCCACCCATGCATCCATCTGTCCATCCACCAACTCATCCATTCAACCATCCATCCATTTATCTATCTATCCACTCAGCCATCCATTTATCCATCCATCCACATACCTGTCCACATACCCATACATCCATCTATGGATCTGTCTGTACATACACCACCCATTCACCTACCTATGCGTCCATCCTTCATCCTTTCACGTGTCTGTGTTGTGTGTTTCTCCCTAGCATCCATTACCAGTGTGGCACAGCTACTGAGCTTTGATTTAATGCCTAAATCCACATAGCTTCTGCTCTGTTGCCATGGTTAGTTCTATCACATGGTCCTTACAGGAGTGTTGAGAGAGACCATAAGAATATGGGTCCCGTGACATCTGAGACAGGATGTCCTTTGGCTTTGCTGAAAGAGGCCTTTTCCATGAGCATTGCCAGCCTCTAACTCATGGTAAACACCTGAAGCCAGCGAGTCGTGATGATCAAGTGCGACCTGGCTGCTAAGTGTTGATGGGTGGGATTGTCATGTCAGTGAGGCAGGTGGGATCTTGATGTGTGCTTCAAGATAGTGACTGTGTAATGTTAGTTGGTTGTCTCTTGTTTCTTTACACTTCTCCTTAAATCTGGCATTATCTCTCTACTTCATGGCAATGTGTGGATGCTGATAAGGTAAGTAGATACTCAAGACAAGACAGAAATGGGAGGAGAGACCGGTCGGAGCTGGGCAGTGGTTTGCCTGTGAGACGGTTTTAATAGCCACCACCGTGCTTTAATTTGTGAGTAAAGATGGGTCAGGGAAAAAAAAAAGAAAAAAAATGTTTCAAATAGAAAATCCTTAAAACTATAAGGAGATTTGTCCTCTCTGCCTACTTCATGAAGCAAATTGATACCAATTGAGAAGCATCTGTGGTGACAGCTTGTGGGCCTTAGTGGCCAGCCACAGTAAAAAACAGAAGAGTTCTCTTCCTTCAGGAATGCAGAGAGAATGTCTCTTTGACAGTGCATGTGCCTGCTGGCATGATCATGGTCCTTATCACAATAATGACTGCAGAGCACAGGGTCAGGATGCAGCAGGATGCAGCCTTCCTCTTTGGGACTTGCAGCTAGTTGTCCTGGGCTACCTTGTGGTAGCAGTTGCCTTGCATCTAAATCTATATGGAAGGCAAAACAGATGGACATGGTTTGACTTAACTTTTTAAATAACTTCCACATGACATCAGACGATGAAGGGCAAGTTGAAAGCAGAAATGAACCCAGGGGAGCAAGCTTGCGAGGTCCTGCCATCTTCTGTGAGGTACAAAGGGCACATAACTGGAAGGAAGTTCTCCTGGGATGGACAGAACAGATGCTCTCCCTCCCTCTCTAAGGCCATGTCAGGGGTGGGAGTTGTAAGCCATGAGCCTGTCTAGCCTTCTCAGGTCCAAACAGTTGCCTGAAGAGTGAGATGAGCCTTTCTGACCTCTTCTTAATCCTCTGTCTTCTTGGCATAAGTTACCTGTGAACACTTGAAAATAGTAGCATCCGGTAGAAAATAACATCTTCTCACCTGTGTGCTTCAGCCTGCCCCACCCCAAGGGAGCCGTCCAGAGAGTACTGTGTCCTTCAACCCCTATGAGCCAACGGGAGGGCCCTGGGGCCCAGACAGAGGTGAGAGATGCACATTTATTCAATAAACATTCAAGCAGGGTGCACAGATGCTTGCCAGTGTGTAGAGGCGGCTTACAAATTCCTAGTGCCATTCCAAACTTGCCCTAAACAGTGGTGATATCCAGACTCAGACAGAAGATATCACCTATCCATAAAGCAAGCAGTCCTGTCTAGTAAAAATGGTCTTTTACAATTTAAACAAGCAAACATGCAAGCAAACAAGCAAAAACCCCCAAGTTGTTAGCATTGGAAGCATCATGCTGCGTGTCTGTCATGTTCCGTGGAATCCGGTTGCCTTTCTTGGAAGAGCATATTGCCAAAGGCTGATGATGACCTCTGGGTGGTTTTGACAGTAGGTACAACTCACAGGATCTTCTAGATTTGTTCAGGGAGCTGCGGTGACTGGGAGATCACAGGGAACACAGTGCAGGAGGACACAGTTGACTTGTTCCCAGAAACGGGTCTTTTGGGTGCCTTTCTTGGGTCCATGAGTATCTGCATCTTATCTTTTTATTAATAATCTTGGGTTTGTTTATGCTATCAATCGCCTCCAAACAAAGGCTTAAAGCAACAAGAGTCAGTTTTCTCTCATTTAATTTATACGTTGTAGCTGGAGGTATGGCTCACATAGGGCGCTTGCCCAGCATGCACAGAGCCCAGGGTTTCATCCCCAGCCCTGCAGAAGCCAGGCATGGTGTTACACACATCGTCAGCATCATTGCTGGCTATGTGTTGAGTTCATGGCCTTTCTCATGTGAGCCTCAGAGTGGTGGAACTCCATCCTTAGCATCTCAGAGATAAAGCGCGTTGGCTTTTCAAAGCCTTGGAAAGCCCATGCATCACCTGTCTTGAGCTCTGTTGGTTCAGTTATAAAAAGCCAACAAGGAGCATCTTATCACTGGTGGCACCTCTCAATAGGAGACTGGCACAGCTGTCTTAAAGCCTCAGGGAGGTTTTATCCACCATTACCACTGGTGTAGAAGACCCATCTTGTCTCTTCCCTTGCTTCACTTCTTGGCTGCATGCAACTGTCCCATAAGACCGAAGGAGTGGAGGGCAGGGTGGCAAGGGGTACTATTTTACAGAACTCCAGACCGGAGTCATCTGTTCCCTGACTACATTTCAGGCCTTCAGAGAGAAGCCCTGCCCATGGACACAGAGGTGTATGAGAGCCCTTATGCTGACCCTGAAGAGATCAGACCCAAAGAAGTCTACCTGGACAGAAACCTGCTGACCCTGGAGGACAACGAACTGGGCTCTGGTAACTTCGGGACTGTGAAAAAGGGATACTACCAAATGAAAAAGTAAGCACCGTTGTTCCATTACACTGCAGTCATCCTCAGTGCGAGAGTGCATTCTGGAACCTTCTCACCTAGGATGTTCATTAATCCCAGACATTGACGATCAAGTGCATGCCTAAGGACTTTTGCACTGGCATTGTATTTATTCATTTCTGAGACACTAATTCCTAATTTATTTTCTGTAGTGTTTGTGCGCGCGCGCGCACACACACACACACACACACACACACACACACACACACACACGTGCAGGCACCAACTGAGACATCTTGTAGCCTTCATTTCTGACTCATTTATAATAAAAGCATCCTTTGTATATGCTAACTGTGGTGACAGTAATGAAATGTTTGTTTTAGTTCCTAGTATAATATGGAAAATAGCTAAATAGAAGTAGGCAAATTCATAAGATAATAAAAACATACTATACCTCCAGAACACAACTATTCTGTGACGAACCTTGGTGTAGGCATTTATTGGGTCTTTATATGTGTGTGAATTTTTTTGTTTCAGGTTCCTCACCTTCTGTGCACACACGTTGAGGTCATGATGCTCAGTTTAAATATATGCATGTGAATCACAGTCACATTTAAAGCTGAATATTAAGGGATAGAGAGATGGCTCAGGGGTTAATAGGACATATTGCTTTCCAGAGGACCCAAGTTCAGCTCCCAGCACTCACATCAGATGGTTCGCAGCTGCCTGTAACTCCACTTCCAAGAGTTCTGCTCCCCTCTTCTGGACTCTGAGGGTACTGCACTCAATAGGCATATACTCACACACAGACACACACTTAGATACATCATTAAATATAAATCTTTTGAAAATCTAAATATTGCTTTTTTTAGGTATCTAGACATAACCTTTCACGATTTGCTTTAGTTTATTGTATTTTAATTTCTTGATTAATTAATATGAATCAATATGGTTAGTTAACATGAATTTATATACAATTTCAACTGTAGAATTTAGAGAGCTGAGAACTAGGTTCTACCAAGACTGTTGTGAGACAAAGCACTGTCTTTTTACCATTGAGTCTTTCTGTTTGTACACTCAGCCCATTCCCTCCTGGATCTCATTCTTGACTGTCTTTCAGATTTCTCTCAGCAGACTTGTTTAGCTTTCTGTGTCAAGTCTTAGTCATGCATTCTCAGGTGTTTTGTATGTAAATACTAAGTGTTTTTGGTACTCTAAGTAGTTTGATGGTAACGTGTGACATCGTGTAGCATTTTCCATGTCTTGATCTTATATCTGAACTAAAACTGATTTTACACAGAGATGTGACAACTGACAACACTGCTACATTCATTTGTGACCAGTAGCAGTTTACCTAGCTATTCTTTAATACAGAAATGTGTCACTTATGAATGCCAGATCTATGGGGTGTGTGTGTGTGTATGTGTGTATACAAGTGTGTGTTTGTTGGTATAAGTGTATGTGTTCAGGTGTGTTCACAAGTATATGTGGGTTGTGAGTATGGTTTTGTGTAGGTACAAATACACTTAGAAACAATAATTAATTAATGATAATAATAATAATAATAATTCCTCAGGACCCATCCACTCTCATTTTTGAGGCAGTGTCTCTCACTGGGCTACAAATTAGGCTATGGAAACTGGCCAAAGAACCACAGGGATCCACCTGTCTCTGCCTCCCTGATGCTGCGATTATAACTGTGTACCACAAACATCTTTTTACAAGCTGGGGTCTTGGGGCCCAAACTCCAGTCCTCATGATTTCATAGCAAGCCCTTTACAGATTGAGCTGCCTCCTCAGTCCAATAATGAGACTCTTCAAAGAAAACCATGTCCAATCTTTATCCTTGGAGTATTCATCCTCATCTTAGTGCATTATCTAGGAGTTGTAGAGTAGGGTTTTATAACTGCCAGGAGCCTTATGCCTGGTTACAGATAGAGAAGACCCGGCATTTCCTTGGGTATGGTTTATATCTGAACACGATGGCTGCTGTCTGAGACTGAAGACATGCCATTTTGCTCTGACATCTCTGTGAGTTCTTTAATCCTGCATCTATGCTGGATTTTGGTGAAGACTCTCCCCACTCCACTAAGCTCATTCTGTGCTTCTTTTTCTTTACTGTGATTCCGTGATGAATTACAGCCATTAGATTTCAGATCTTAAACATGACCCTCCATCTTGGGGTAAACTCCCCTAGCCTTTTGCCCAGTATATCTCTTTCCATAAACAATTGAATATATAACCCATGAATATTTCATATCTGTGCTCATGAAGTGTCCTAATTACTGTTTTATTGCTGTGAAGAGACACCATGCCCAAGGGAATGTAAAAAAGAAAGCATTTAACTGGGGGCTTGTTTAGTTTCAGAGGGTGAGTCCATGAGCATCGTGGCATCAGGAAGACATAGCATTGGAGCAGCAGCTGAGTTTATATCTTATTTGCAAGTTGGAGGCAAAGAGCAAGAAATCTCAAAGCTTCCAGTCACAGGCCTCTTCCAACAAGGACACACCTCCTAATCATTCTCAAAACAGTTCTGTCAAACTAGGGTCCAAGCCTTCTATATACAAGCCTACAGAGGCTTCTCTCTTTCAAACCACCATGTGAGGCTATCAGTCAATTGCTTTCTTACAGTTCCCATAGTGGAGCCTGACTCTCTTACCTGTAAAAGAGCAGAATGCTTGGAAGATGGGAGTTTCATAGTCTCTTCCTGGGTCCTCATAAACAATTCAGGAATTGGAACAATGATGATCTCTCAGAATTAATGGGGCATCTTCTTTCTCTTCTGTTTTTCTAGAAGACATGGTTATTTTCATTTTTAAATGTTTAGAGGAATCAAGAGACCTTTTTTTAACTTCTTCATTTAGATCTCTGCCTCACACCCCAGATGTAATGATAGACCCAACTATGAAAGCCAAAGTAGGTGGCTAGGGATGACAGAATGGAACCTCTTATGTTCCCAGGAGGATCCAGAGAGGCTTGTGGGGCGCCGATAATATCTAAATTCTCCTGTCAGACCACAGGCTGCATTCTAGATCACCACAATAGCTGTGTGTAATTTCCTGTGTGTGTGTCCCATTTATTCTGTTATTTGACCTAGTCTATTTGTTAGGCGTGTGTGTGTGTGTGTGTGTGTGTGTGTGTGTGTGTGTGTGTTTGGTGGTTTAGGGGTCAAACTCTGGCCGTTAAGCTTGTCAGGGTGTACTTTCACCTACCCAGGCCCTCATGGCCTCTTTCCTGATTAGTTCTGTTTTTATTCCCGGTTTGAAGGTTCAACAAGAGAAACAACTTCTCATGCTTGTGGAAATTTTATCACAGGTAATTTTTCAAAGCATACATAGTTAATGTTTGTTCTTTCATCTGAGCCACGGTTTTTTAGAATGCTTTCAAGAGTTCAGCACGATCGATGTGATGGTTTTTGTGAGAGAATGAAAAAAAATCTATATTTTCTAAACACATTGAGGCTTGCCTAAAAGTAACAAAACCCAGTGGGAGGGAGGGAGTGTTTCTTTCTCTTTCACTCTGAGCTTGAACAGTGTGTGTGCTTCAAATGGGGCATGTTGGGTACACACTTGTGATCCCCAGCACCCCAGAGATAGAGATAGGAGGATCAGAAGTTTAAATAATTTGCTACTATATAGCAAGTTTAAAGCCACAGTAGATTACATAAGACACTGTCTCCAAAAGAAAAATGTAAAACAATGTTTTTTTTTTTTTTAAATTCTGAGCCCAGAAGCTCATTTTCAATATCATAAAGGAACTTTGTATTCCTTTATGGATATAGACATAACTTAGCCGGTAAATCACGTGACATTGCAGCAAGCTGTACGTATGTCACAACTGGTGAATTTTATTGAAGCTGTTTTACTATTTCATAATTCAGGGGCTTTCCTCAACTAAGATTATTCTCCATTGCTGTCCACTACCCTTGTTCACAGGTAGTGGGGCATAGTTCCTCTGTCTATAAAAGAACGGGTGTAGAGAGAGTCCCTTGTGTGCCGTATAAAAACACTACCTGTCAATAAAAGCTGATGGCCCTTAGCTGAGGCAGTAAATAGGAGGTGAGAGTTCCAATAGGGGAAGAGGAACTCTGGGATAGAGGCAGGTGTAGGAAGAGAGTCCCTCCAAACTCTGGGGAAGATAGTCACATGAAACCGAGGAGAGGTAACTAGCCTCATGGCAGACTTAGACTAGATTAAACAGAATAATTGAGTTACAAGATAGTAGGAACAAACCCAAGCTTATGGCCCAGGCATTTGTTCATAAAGAATAAATCTCAGTTATTATTCTGGACTATGGTGGAAAAGCCCCCAGTTATAAACAGTAGATTGGGAGACTCGCACTGCAAAAGCTTTTTCTAGGAGACATGAATATATAATGGGAGATATTTAGAAAATGGTGCCCGAACTGGCTAGTTCCTGGGCAGTCCCATTTCCCCGCTGCTCTGGCTCTGGACCCCTGCTCTGACTATCTAGAAACACCAGCCCTGGCACCCACGAGATGCCATCATGGTGGGTGGCTCTGCCAATTCACCACGCTGCCCCCGCAATGTTCAGCTGAGCTCAGACCATTCCCGCTATGCCCATGTACCTCGTAGAAATGAGACTCTTAAAGCTTAATAGTTATCCAATAGATTTATATATTTGGAAATGCTCAATTAACAAGATGCCCACACAATTAGGATTTTTACCCAATACTAACCTTTAGATATAAACTGTTACCTAAGACTGTTCTTGAACCATCCATCCTCCCCCATGATTGCTAGCCTCCTTCCTAATAAAAATATCCCACTACATGAATATCTACTCCTTCATACAGAGCACCAACCACAAACCAGAGAACAATCCCTGAAGTCCAATTTGGGGAACCAGTGACTGGGCTCACGTCAGAGCATTTGTGCGGGGGTGGGGGGTGGGGGGTGGGGTAGGGGGTGTTACTTATAGGAGCTGTACCACTGAGGAGTCTGGCCTCAGTGTCAGTGGTAGCCTCTACAGGATGTAGGGTCCCCTAGACAACCCCTCTCAGACTCCTGTTAACTTTCACAGTCGTATGCTCCAGCACCTCCCAAGACCATGCGTCTATGTTCAGTTAGGACAGAGTCTCATACAGATGATTGTCTGGGGGTGCCAGAGGGAGTTCCAAGAATCCGGGTGACAGTCCAGTGACCATCTCCACCTCTTCCTTATATGGGGGAGCACCAGCAGTTGAAGCTGGTCTTGCTTCTTTGTTGCAAAAGGCATAGCTGATCAGATGGACATAGCAGGTGTTATAGTCAGAGGAGGTTAAAGACGACCTTAAACTAATGATCCTCTTGTCTCCACCTCTGGGGGACTGGGGTTCACAGGTGAGCACCACCATGCCCAGCCTGAAGCACACGTGTTGTTAAAGGGAAAGAAACACTTCTCTCCTACTAGGCTTTGTTACTTTTAAGCAAGCCTCAGCGTGGTTTGGAAATACAGATCTCTTTCATTCTCTCACAAAAAGTATCACATGGATCGTGCTGAACGCTTGAAAGTATTCTAGCAAACTGTGGTTTAAATGAAAGAACAAACATTAGCTATGTGTGATTTGAAAATTTACAACTGTGATAAAATTTTCACAAGAAGGAGAAAAATAGTTTAGACATTTATTTAGACATGTGTGTGTGTGTGTGTGTGTCCATGTATGTGACAACCTTGGATGTCACTTCTTATCTTTCACCTTGTTTCAAATTGTCTCTAGGGGTTCAATGCTAACTCCACAGAATCCATAGACTCTCCCTTCTCTGCCTCTCTCATCTTTTCCTAGAAGTGCTGGGATTATAGACATACGCTATTGTATCCAGCTTCCTGTGGGTTCTGGGGATCTGAACTCTGGTCCTCACTCTTGCATGCAAGCACTTTATACACTGGGCTGTCTCCCCAGCCTGTGACTGTTTTTTTTATTGTTTTGTTTTTTATTGTTGTTGTTGTTTTTCTGAATGGCTTTAAAAGATTCTCATTGGACAGCACATGTGTTAGCATCATTCCCCTCCGCCCACCCCTGCTCCACTGTGGCCACAGAGAAGAGAACTTCTAGGCAGTTTGGAAAGTTTCTCACAAGTGACAATCTGTGTTACAGAGTTGTGAAGACAGTGGCAGTGAAAATCCTGAAGAACGAGGCCAACGACCCGGCTCTGAAGGATGAGCTGCTGGCAGAGGCGAACGTCATGCAGCAGCTGGACAACCCCTACATTGTGCGCATGATCGGAATCTGTGAGGCAGAGTCTTGGATGCTGGTGATGGAGATGGCGGAGCTGGGGCCCCTCAACAAGTACCTGCAGCAGAACAGGTGCCGGGAAGCACGGGACCCCCTCACCACCCACATTTGGGCCGGGCTGGGGTCTGATTTCTAGGGAGAAGCTCTCTCCCCCTCCTCCCTCTCTGTCTCTGTCTCTCTCTGTCTCTGTCTCTGTCTCTCTGTCTCTCTCTGTCTGTCTCTCTCTCTCTGTGTGTATGTGTGTGTGTGTGTGTGTGTGTGTGTGTGTGTATGTGTGCATCTCTGAGTGTGTATACCTGTGTGAATGTGTGCACGTGGAGGTCAGAGGTTATTATTTGGCTATCACCCTCTTTCCTCCATCAGTCTCCGGCTTAATGATTTTATTTCTGTGTGTGTTGGCGTGAGTGTGTGCACACGAGTGCAGATGCTCGAGGAGCCTAGAAGAGCTCATCAGATGTCTTGGAGCTGGAGTTACAGCGCTTGTGAGCCTCCCAACATAGGTGCTGGGAACCAAACTCAGGTCCTCTGCAAGAGCAGTACCTGTTCTTAACCACTGAACTATCTCATTAGCTCTCCACCGTATTTCATGATACAAGGTCTCTCATTAACACTGGAGCGCAACAATTCAGCCGATTGGCTGACCTCTTGAGTGCCTGCATCTGAAGGGGCAGCGGCAGTTCATTGATTCTGGTTATCAGTGGTCCAGGCACAGCTGCTCTAAGGCTGCTGTAAACATAGAGTAACTCCCTGATTCCTCTGAGCCAGGGCTCATTTTGTACAGCTTTTCTTTATCATTTCCAATATGCATGTGTGAGTATGAGCATGTGTGCAGTGGCAGCAGGTGGAGGTCGAAGGTCAAGCTAAAGCAACACCCATCCCTGGAATACCATCTGGTTCCTCTGAGACAGGGGTCCCTCACTGGCCCGAGCTCAACAGTTTAGCTAGTCTGCTTGAGCAGGGAACATCAAGAATCTACCCATTTCACTTCCCCAGCTTTGGGATTACAAGCACAGGCCACCATGCCTGGCTTTAATTGTACATGGGCGCTGGGCATCACACTCGGGTCCTCTCGCTTGCAGGATGAGCCCTTTACCAAAAGCTTTCTCCGTAGCTCTATGAATGTTTGTCCACCTCAAAGCATGTCTGAAAATGAAGCACACCAACCACGGGAGAATGGTGTTCAGTTTGGAACAGCCATGTGTCAGCAAGATTACCTGCCACACCCATGCCTCCTGTGGTGGTTTTTTGCATGCCTGTGTGTATAGTATATATATATGTGTGTGTGCACATGTGCATGGGTATGCATGCCCATGCAGACGTGCAGAGGCCAGGACAGGACACTGTGTCTCCCTCTTTATCACTTTCTGCTTTATTTGCTTGACACACAGCCAGGTGTGCTAGCACACATCTTTAATCCCAACACCAAAGGGCCTAGTTTGGTGGATCACTCTGAGTTTGAGGCCAGTCTGATCTACATGGTGCATTCCAGGCTAGTTAGGGCTACATAGTGAGACCCTGTCCAAAAAAAGGAAAAAAAGGGTCTCCCACTAAACAGGAAGTCCTGCTGGTTTGGTTTGGTTTGGTTTGGTTTGGTTTGGTTTGGTTTGGTTTG